CCCTCCCTCTGCTCATCCCCAAGTCCGAGCTTCTGCACAGCGAGGATGAGCACTAGGAGGAGGAGGAGGAGGAGGAGGAGGAGGAAGACGACGACGACGACGAGGGGGAAGTTGGGAGTTCAACTCTCGCGCTGCCTTTCGGGGGAGGGACCGTGCGGGGGGCCGCGGGTGCGGTACACTCGCCACCGGCTTTCTTGCGCAGGAGAGGTCAGGACCCTGCAGGTATTACCGCCATGAAGCAAGGGCGACCGATGGAAAAGCCCCTAGACTTTTCGCCGCTGCTGTCTTCTCGAGACTCTTCCAGGGCCCCATGACCGTTCAAAACGACTCAGGATGAAAAGTAGGTCTGGGGAAAACTCCAGAATCCAGGACCCGCTTCCCTCAGGACCCATCTCCTACACGCCAAGGTGAGAGCATGTCAAGATGAAGTCTAATGGGTGAGAGCATGCCAAGGTGAGGGCTTGCCGAGGCGAATCATGGCGCTGTTTGGTCGCCTGCTCAGTCAGTTTGACCGCCACGGCGACTGTCCCTCAGCCGGCGAAGCAAAGAATGGCAGAACTTTGCTGGAGAGGAAAAGCAGGTGTATTGTATATTTCTGAAGCGCGGATGCGGTATTCGACAAAGCGCTGCGGACTCAACAGGTGAACAGCTGCATTCGTAGCATCAGGCTCAAGGCTCACGCGTGCATCAACGACCTACTTTTTGCTGCACGACCCGCCAGATTCTCAACAAAGAAACTCAACAATGGCGCACCGTAGCGCTGTCATGATCGCATTTGTATGCGGAGCCCAGCTCTGCCATGGCTCTCCGGGCAACTTCCGCGGCTCAGGCGGCGGCCCCGCCTCGGACCGCACGGTCTCGGTGAAGGACGTGGAGTCGAGTCTGGGGGCCTCCCTGGAGGCAGTCCTCACCAGTCCGCCTCCTCCTCCTCCTTCTCCTCCTCCTCCTCCTCCTCCTCCTCCTCCTCCTCCTCATACTCCTCGTCCTTCCTACGTTGGAGTCGAGTTTTTGCGGCCTCCCTGGAGGCAGTCCTGCAGGGCGGCAGCGTTGCCATGGCCAGCCGGTTGTCCCGCATCGAGTCCGCCATGTGGGAGACGTTTCAGGCTCTGCCCAAGAACGGCATGGGGCGCCTGGCGCCGCGAGCGGTGCGCCACATCTCGAAGAACAAAAGGCGGCACAAGCATACAGAGGAGGCCCATGCCAAGAAACACCCTGCTTGCCTCCAGGGCGCCTTGGGTTTCTTGGGCTTCGACGGTTTGGCTATGAAAAGCGTGACGTTACCACGCCAAAAATTAATGGACGTCAGGGTTGGGTTTCTTGTGGAAGGTTTCTCGTGGTCGGGCCCCTGCTGTAATTTCTCGGAGGTTCGCGCAGATTTCTTGGATCGGCGCTGAGCCTCCCCTGGCGGCGCCTCCGGCGCCTCCTCCGGCGCCGCCCCTGGCGCGCTCCACGCTCCAGGGAGGGGGCCAGCGCCGAACCAAGAACGCCGCGCGGACCTCCGAGAAATTGTGCTCATGCAGCTTTTTCTTCCTCTTACATCGTGCACAGCTACTTCGCGAAGGAGCACGGCTGGATCATCAACGGGCTGGAGCCGCACGGCATGCACGCCAACGTCACCGAGGTGCACGAGGTGGACCTCCTGCAAGACAAGGCGCCGGCGTTCGTGGAGGCCCTCCTCGAGTCTCGCCGCGCCGGCCGGGGGCTGTCCCTCGGCGACGTGGTGGCGATGGCGGCGGCCCTGGAGCGCCTCATCTTCGACGAGTCCCTCTCTCTCCTGCAGGTGGCCTACGCGCTCAACGGCCAGTCCGCCGCGGAGCGGCTGGGGGCGGGTGAGCTGCACGAGGTGCTGTCGTCTTACCTGATGATGTTCGAGATGGGCGCCCGCGCGAACATCACAGACGCCCCGAGGCACCGCGCCGTGAAGGACGCCATGGCCAGCGCCGGGGGCAGCTGGCCGCTCCTCGTGGAGTTCGAGCAGGCGGCCGTGCACAACTACGACTTCGAGAGCTACCACCGGACCAACCCGTTCGTGGCGCGCCAGTATTCGTTCGGCGAGGCCTCTCGGGTGGTGGAGGGTCTCGCGCGGGACTACGGCAAGTGGCAGAACACCGAGTGCCGCCAGATGCGGCAGGAGCTGGAGGAGCTGGACCCAGACGGCTCGGGGCGCGTACCTCTCCGGACCTTCTACTCGCAGCCAGAGGCGGCCGACTACCAGTTCACCGAGTCCGTCGACTACCTCCGGCAGATCGGCGCGCTGGACGAGGCCACGAGCAGCGTCCGCATCTCCAACTACATGGTGGGGCCCTCGAACTGCATCGCCAGGTCGACGTACTACTCCGTGTGCTGCCTGAGTGACTGCGAGGGCCTGCTGAACGAACTGGAGGGCAAGATCAAGGCCCCCACGGCCACCCCCGGCCGCATCATGTCGGCGGTCCGCAACCTCACCGCGTCCCCAGACATGCGCTTGCCCCTCACCGCTGCCGAGGCGAGGCTGCGGGACATCGCGGGCCACAACGGGGGCGAGGTTGGAAGTAGAGAAAACGGCACAAACATTAAACTTTCGGCGCTCTGCGCGGATTTCTTGGATCCGCGCTGGGGCCCCCTGGCGCCGCCTCCGGCGCCGCACTTGGCGCGTTCCGCGCGCCAGGGAGGGGGCTCCAGCGCGGATCCAAGAACCCCGCGCGGAGCGCCGAAAGTCTAACGTTTATGCTGTTTTTGTTTTCCATCCAGAGGTGCCCCTGCACGGACGGCTCTTCGCCGAGTTCTTGCACCACGCCTTCCCCGCCGACTGCCCCTATCCGCACCTGGCCGAGGACGCTGCGGCCCTCTCCCCGGCGCATTGGTCCTCCGGGAGGGCCACGGCGTCCGAGGATCAGGAGGGAAAGAAGCACACAGACACAAGCAATCGTCCGTCGACCCCAGGGAAATATATGAACATATTCGAAGAAGACAACGCCGTAAACATAAACTTTGAGCGCTCCGCGCGGATTTCTTGGATCCGCGCTGGGCACCCCTGGCGCCGCCCCTGGCGCGCTCCACGCGCCAGGGAGGGGAGCCCAGCGCGGATCTACGAAATCCGCGCAAAGCGCCGAAAGGCTAGGTGTATGCCGTTTCTTCTTAGTATTCGAATTATTAGAACTGTAACTATTAGTATTACTATTCTTCGGGAAGTGGGGGGAAGACAAGCGCCGCGAGAAAGGATGGAGCGGTGTGGGGAACCCTGGGACCTGGGCCTACCTCTCGGTGTGTGCTCCCGGGCCCCTGCAGAGGAGGAGCGCAGGCAGCACGTCGAGGCCGCGCCGGAGGACCGGCAGCAGGCGGAGCGGGCGCCGAGCACGGCGTGGAGCTCGGCCGACAAGGGCTGTGCACATGCCCCGGATCCCGGCCAGGGTCCTCCTGTCGACGGCGAGCGAGGGAGGGGGGGGACGTGAGGAGGAGGAGGAGGAGGAGGAGGAGGAGGAGGAGGACCAGCGTAAAACCAAGATTCATCAACGATGTTGGAATTAATCCTCCCTCCAAGCTCCCTTTTCATAGGCCCCTTACAACGGTTCATTTCCACTGAGGGAACTGCCTCGTTGGAAGACAACCGTTTGAAGACCCTGAAGCATGCCAAAACATTGTTCTTGGGATTTCAACGCCACGTATCAACCTGACTGCTGCGTTTTGGCGATCCGGAATCGTGCCATGACGCCATTTTTGGGAGAGTTAAACACCGCGACTCAACATAACTGTTGCACCCGCATAATCCTGAATCCCTCCAAAACACCATGTTTGGTACGTTGATCATGGGAATCCGTTCAACTCTTGCAAATGTTTAAAATGAATGTGCGCGGCGCTACAGCGAGAGCCACATTTTGAAAAGGAACCCGCCTCAATCCGTGAAACTCTTGCAATATTTTACAACGAATGTGCGCGGCGCTACAGCGAGAGCCACATGTTGAAAACCACCCGCCCTCAATCCGTGACGCTCTTGCAAATTTTGAAAACGAATGTGCGCGGCGCTAAACGAGAGCCACATTTTGAAAACCACCTGCCCTCAATCCGTGAAATTCTGGCAAGTCTTTAAAAAACGAATGTGCGCGGCGCTAAGGCAAGAGCCACATTTTGAAAACCACCCGCCCTCAATCCGTGAAGCTCTTGCATTTTGTCTCAAGAAATGTGCGCGGCGCTAAGGCGAGAGCCACAGTTTGAAAAGGAGCCACCCTCAATATGTGAAGCTCTTGCATTTTTTGAAAACGAATGTGCGCGGCGCTTAAGCGAAAACCGCATTTTGAAAACCTCCCGCCCTCCATCTGTGAAACTGCTGTCACTTTTTAAGCTTCAGAGACATAAATGGTGAGGAAGTCTCAGGCGAAACGCCCGGCCCGCCCTGAAAATTGGCCTCGGGGTGCGACAGGGAGGAGTTATCTTGAAGGAGAAGGAATGGAGGAGGCCTTCTCTCGAGTACACGTAAGAGTGACCCTTCGCCGGAGTGACCTCTGGTGCTGGCCCACTGGGGTCCCCCATTCGCCGAACGCGATGCGGCGGTAGCGTCTTGCCGCGCTTATGCTTGACCCCCCCGCGCGGCCCCCAAAAAGCCGCGCACCAAAGGTCACTCTTACCCAGGATCATTCTTGCGTATAGGCGATAATCAGAGGGCTCGGAAGTTCCCCGGCCTTCTGAGAAGTTTCCTGGGCCTTCCCCGAAGACGCAGAAAGCCTCTCAGGGCTGGAGGCCTTCAGAGAAGCGCCGTTGCCTTCCTTGGAGGGCGCGTAGTGGAGGGGGGGAGGGCGATACATGGAGGTGCAGCGAGGGTTGCACAAAAGGAGCCCTCTAGGGCCCCTCAAAGGGGCCCTTTGGGACCCCAATGGGGGCCTTTAGGGCCCCGAAAGGGCACCTTTCTTCTCCCCCCTGGATCGCCCCCAGTAATTCGCGCCCAACTTCTGAGAAGGCCTTCTCCTTCTCACTTGCCCCCCTCGCTCGCCGCCGAGGTGCACATGCCCCGATCCTGGCCAGGCTCATCGTGGCCCCCAGGTGCAGGAGGAGGGAGCGGCGGGCGCGCGTCCCGAGCCCAGGGACGGGCCTGGGCAGGGGTCGGGGGGCACGAGCACGGCTCTCTCCTCCTCCTCCTCCTCCTCCTCCTCCTCCTCCTCCTCCTCCTCCTCCTCTTCCTCCTCCTCCTCCTCCTCCTCCTCCTCCTTCTAATCCTCATCCTCCTCCTCCTCCTCCTCATCATCGTCATCATCATCATCAGCAGCAGCATCATCAGCATCAGCATCAGCATCAGCATCAGCATCATCATCATCATCATCAGCAGCAGCAGCAGCAGCATCAGCAGTAGCATCAGCAGTAGCACCATCATAATCGTCAGCATCATCACCACCATCACCACCATCATCACCACCATCATCATCATCATCATCATCATCATCATCGTCATCATCATCACCATAAGCATCATCATCATCATCATCATCGTCATCATCACCATCAGCATCATCAGCATCAGCATCAGCAGCATCATCATCAGCAGCAGCAACATCAGCAGCAGCATCATCATCATGACCAGCATCATTAACGTCATAATCATCACCAGCATCATCATCGTCCTCCTCATCCTCATCATCAGCAGCAGCATCATCATGACCAGCATCACTAATGTCATAATCATCACCATCATCATCATCATCGTCATCATCATCATCACCATAATCATCATCATCAGCAGCAGCATCATCATCATCTTTATCAGCATCATCAGCAGCAGCATCATCATCATCATCCTCATCCTCATCCTCATCCTCATCCTCATCCTCATCAGCAGCAGCATCATCATCATCCTCATCCTCATCCTCATCCTCATCCTCATCCTCATCCTCATCCTCATCATCAGCAGCATCATCATCATCCTCACTCTCATCCTCATCCTCATCCTCCCTCCCTCCTCTCAGGAGCGACGAGGAGGTGCTGCCAGTGCTGGAGGCCCCGAGGCGCGCCCGCGGCGCCTGGAGCGGCGCCGCGCGTTCCGCGGCGCAGGCGGCGGCGGCCCTCGCGGTGCTGCGCATCGCCATGTCCGGGTGGCGTTCGGCCGCAAGTCATGGGAGCCTTACCTGCTTTCCTGTGCCTTGCTTGGCTGTCCCTGCGGGGTTGCGGGCCTCGGTACCTTCGCTCGGTCGCCCTCCCGCCGCCGTCAGTGTCTTTCCTCTGGCCTTCGCTCGCTCGTCTTCTGCGTGCCCTCGTTTTTGTCCTGTGCTGCTGGGAGTTCGCGCTCGACTCTGACCCAAGTCCAAAACAAATATGATGGCAGCCTTGCATGTCCCGTGATTTTCGTCCCTGGGGTGCGCCAGCGTGCGATGGCGCCTGGTCGTCGATGGGAAAGCGCCGATCAGGCGTCGGTGAGCGTCGATCTCGCGTCGGCCAGCGTCGACGAGCTCTGGCTCGCAAGAACCCGCAGGATGGCATGGGAGGCTGAGGAGGAGGAGGAGGAGGAGGAGGAGGAGGAGGAGGAGGAGGAGCGAGAAAGAGGAGGAGGAGGAGGAGGAGGAGGAGGAGGAGGAGGAGGAGGAGGAGGCTCCCGCGAGTTGCCACGGAAGGTGGCGCGCCGCCCGGGGGGCGGCGGGCGGCGCCGGGAAGCAGGGCCTCGTCCTCCCGCTGCGCGCCTGAGCTCTGCGGGGCTCCGGGCTCGGGGGGCCCGCCGCGCCCGCGGCGCGCGGGGGGGGCGCGGCGGTTGCCGTCGGCAGGCGCTCGCTGTCGCGCGCG